CTAAGGTGTCTTGTTACCACCCACCTACACACAGTCCCCTAGAGGAGAGGGGAGTTGTAGGGACAATTCCATCCAGGGCCTTTGCTGAATTCCAAGACCTGGTGACCTGGGAGCCTGATTACTATTTAATGGTAATGATTATAATAAATGGGCAGGATTGATGCTCTAGGTGCTACTGGGAATTTAGGAGGAAGGAAAAAAATCAACAAGCAAATGTGTTTCCATATCAGAGAAGTGACATATTACAGTTGAATTCAGGGTCTTCTTTCTTTCCTTGTGATTTCTGAAGTAGGCTTAGAGCTAACCTTCTTCTGTTTCCACAAAGACAAAGACAGATGGAAACTCCGCATTGCGGATGTTCTGAGTCCACCAGTTTGGATCGCAGCAGGTGACTTATGGCTCCAGTGGACTGAAGAAGTGGCAGTTTTCTCATCTGGAAAATGAAAGGCGTGGAGTGGATAATCTTCCCTGTTGTTTCTTTGATTTTACGTCAAAATGGTGTTTTCTTAATCAGTTCTCTGCTACTTCCTTTCTGAGATCATTTTTCTTCCCATTGCAGAAGCGGGCGTGATTTCAGTCCCTGCTGCACAGAACTGCCTAATCTTTGCTGCTAATCACCAGACAAAACACACCTTGGTTTTCAGATCTGGAACCAGCTGCTTTCCAAAGCAGCTAGAAAATACTGACTTTGTTATTTTGCTTTTAGAAGAAATTTGGGTATTAAAATGACAGACTGAGTATCAATGTAATGCAAAAGCAGTTTGCATACCATGCACTAGATTAAGAACTCTGCTTGGAACACAGAATCAATGTATATAGCTGGATAAAAATGTATAAATTAAATATATATACACACACATACACACACATCTATTACGTATGCTTATTGGTTCTCTCACTCTTTCTCTGTTTCTCTCTGAGACACACACACATACACACACACACATGACACGGAGTTAATATTCCTCTACACAAACTGTCTATAATACTATTTATCTCTGTCAGGGAAAATCCATATCCTCAAATACCATCGTTTCTGTCTTCCCTCTGGAATCTCGAATTATTATCTTAGAACAAAATTCTATTAGCTAAATACCGATTCCTACATAAATTCAGATAATCCTGATCATACTTTAACTAATTCTTAGTCCATTAGACCTTGGTGTAGAATAACTGGATTTCTTTTTAAAGAGCACATTTGGATAAAGAGGGAAATGGGAAGGAGAGAAAAACAAAAATAGCTCCAGAATTCTGAATGGGATGAAAAGAGGGGGTTGTATTATGTGTTATGTAAATGTGTATGTGTGCATATGTGAGTATGTGACTAGCTTGAAAGTTGGGCTGCCGAAAGACAAACTTCAAGTTGAGTTCATTGATTCCTATAGTATTAGTCAGCATTATTCATGATCCTAGAAGTGGATTACTTAAGTTGAATAGTTTTTTTTTTTCCTCTAGACAGATCATTAAAATTAATTTTACTTATTTTTATAAAAATCATACATGCACAAGGCACTGAATTTTTTTTTAGAGAGAGATTTTTGCTACAGAGAAACAGAAAGCAAGAACTCACCCCTCCAGAGGGAATGGCCATGCCACAATCCCTTCTCCATTCTCCTCTTGGGATTTTCGGCACACATACACACATGCACACATGCCCAGTATGAGTTTTAAGCCACTGGGTCTGGGATTTGAACTGTGGTTGACTATGTGGGAGTCCAGCAACAAAACCATTACACCATTTGCTGGTTCCAACAAGGCACTAAATTATAAAGTTACAAAAGGGACATTCAGAAATAAATATATCTATATCCCCAGTCCCTCCAGTTCTTCTTAGAGTTTACTACTGTAACTACTCTCTTGTTCTAGGTTTTTACAAATATACTTGTGCATGGTAGCATAGTATGCATATTGCTTCCTGCTTTTCTCATTCAGTAACACTTATCTTGAGATTTTTCCATTTTCATCTTGTAGAAGCACACTGTTCTTTTGAATAACTCTGTAGTGTTTGACTGGATGGATGTCCTATAATCTATTTAAACAGTTGCCTACTGATGACCATTGAAGCTGTTCCCAGTGACTTAACCATTACAAACAATGTTGTGAGTCATTTTCTCATGTTCTCAATTGTAGGCCAGGCACTAAGATTCCTGGTTTCCTGGATCTCCTTTCACAGAGTACATTGCAAATGGTGTTCCCTGGAGTTGTGCAATCCAGTATCATCTAGGACATTTCACACATGTATGATCATACTTGTAGGGTGAATACCCATTAGTGGTGCTTAATGAGAGAATTTAGTCCTTGGTCATTGGTCCACTGTTAATATGGTCATCACCCTCAGAGTGCCCTCTAGCTTCTGATTGTTTCTCATAAAGAGTGGCTCCCAGGGAACCAGCAGTTAGCATAATGGCTATGTCGCTGGACTCCCACGTAGTCGACCGCGGTTTGCGTCCCGGACCCAGTGACTTAAAACTCACGCCGGGCACATGTGCGTGTGTGCCCAAGATCCTGAGAGGAGAATGGAGAAGGGATTGCGGCGTGACCATCCCCCCTGGGGGGTGATTTCTTGCTTTCTGTCTCTATGTCTCTCTCTGTCTGTCTGGCGAGCGCACGTGCCCTATAGCAAAAACCTCTCCCCCCACCCCCAAAAAAAGAGTGGCTCCCAGAGGTAATCATAATAGTCTTGATTTATTCTGACCTCATTTAATCAGGGACACATACAACTTTTACTTCTCTTATTTTGCACACTGCACTTTTATTAATGGAATTTAAGGTTGTATTAGTTTGTTTGGCAGCTCTGTCCCACTGTTGGCTCATTTTGAGATTATTGTCAACTCAAATCCCTAGATCTTTTATCAAATAAATACTATTAAACTGTATTCTGTTTACCTTTACTTATAACTAGAATTTTTAGACCTAAAAGCAAACCTTTGACTTAGCCATGTTAAAATTTATTTGTGCTCACTAGCAGAACTGTGGTGGTATGATGGTCTGCAATGTTGGAGGCCATATGGAAAACTAGAGTTTGGTTTCTGGGTCAACTTGTACATGCTGGGAACACACATGTGTGTGCCCATGATCCTGGCTGGAAAGTGGGGGAAAGGGTCACGGCATGAGCCTTTGTGCTCTTTTCTCTCATGAAATAAAATAAAATAAAATAAAATATAAAAAACTTAAAAAATCATCTTACATTTTCTAAAATAAAATAAAATAAAATAAACTTAAAAAATCAAATTGTATTTGCAACCCTAGAATCTCTTCTAAGCTGTTGACCTATCTGAACACCTTCCTCTTGCGATTGCTATTTCAACTTTCTTTGTGTATTTTTTATTTCTTACGCACAGTGAACTTGGCTATAGATATGGACAGTGAGGAAATGTTTATAATGTCATCATTGTTATATAGCTTATCAAATATGGCAATCACTGGAGACTTGTGAGAAAAGAACTCGGTGTATTGAAGTCAGGGGTCGAGAAAGAAGAGAAATGAAAGAAAAAGAGAAAGACAGAGAAAATAAACATTTTCTATAACTGACTGGAAAAATGTATTTAAAATCTCAGTTCTAGAAACAACTACACTGCTCCTAACCCTCTAATTCGTGTGTAGCTTGTAGGCATAGATAATTGTGCAACATGCCTGATTTTCCTGTTTATGTTGACTGACAGAAAGTGCAAAGCCATGTTTATAATGCAGTTCTCGTCTACAGAGAATGGTTTATATTTTGTGCACCTATCTTACTTGTCTTCTTTTTATTTTCCTTTTTATTTAATAAGGTTGCCCTTATTTTCTAGAATGTTTTTTTTTAAGTCTTGTATTCTATAAAAATAGTGAATTGCCTTAAATACTTGTATGGAATGAGATATTGTAAAAACCAACAGACAAGCAAATAAAATCTTGGTGCGACAAATTTTTTCTTTCTGTTTTGTAGAGAGGTGTTGCTGTAAGGCATGTGTGTTCACAGGAGAGACAGAGAGAAAAAAGGAGAGACAGAAAGCGAGAAATCATCCCCCAGAGGAGATAGCCATGCTATAATCCTTTCTTCTCCATTCTCCTCTCGGGATTTTGGGCATGCACACACATGCACCCAGCATGAGGTTTTTTTTGTTTTTGTTTTTGTATTTTTGTTGTTGTTGTTGGTTGTTTTGGGTTTTTTTTTTTTTTTTGAGCTTTTTGCTATAGAGTGCGTGTGCTCACCAGAAAGACAGAGAGAGACCGAGAGACAGAAAGTGAGAAATCACCCCCCACACCGCAATCCCTTCTCCTCTGTTCTCATCTCGGGATTATGGACACACAGGCACATGCACCCGGTGCAAGTTTAAGCCATTGGGTCCAGGACTAGAACCGCAGTCTCTACATAGGAGTCCAGTGACAAAGCCATTACAACTGCTGGTCCCCACCCAGCATGAGTTTTAAGCCACTAAGTCTGGTACTTGAACCGTGGTTGACTATGTGGGAGTCCAGCAATGCATTCACTAGGCCATCTGCTGGTCCTAGTGTAACAAATCTTTTAAAAATATTAAACACATTGACACTTTCAGTTGATAACAACATCATAAGGAAAAAGAACTGGAATGAAATAAAATTTAAGCTTGTAACTAACCACTCTGGAATTATTTAAGACAAACTCTCGATGATTAGGAAAAAAACTTAAAAAAAAAAAAAAACTTAAAAGAGTCTCATGTAAAATAATTTACGATCAAATTGATGGAGTTCTCAAACTTCAATGCCTTCCAGGTCCGGGAAGGAAAAGTAAATAAGATAATGGGGAACAATAGAGACAGCAGAAACCTAAAAAAGCCTGTCCCACGTAAGAATGTCAAAATATGTTATTAAACAAAACATTTTCATACCCATCAGGTACTCATATAAAACCAAGTAATTTTCCCCCTAACTTTGTAAATGTGAGCAAAACAAAATAATGTGCAAAAAATCCTCACAGGGAGAAATCTTAGCCACAAAGTTAAACTTCCTCTTTTCCTTTCTTTCTTTTTTTTTCCCCCCAGGTTATTGGTTACCAAGTTATAAATTGAAGTCTTCCTGGGCAACAGGTCTGCATCTTTCTGTTTGGTTTGGTCATGTGGAATGTCTTTTGGTGCTCCTGGACCACAACGCAACCATCAACTGTAGACCTAACGGGAAAACTCCTCTTCACGTGGCTTGTGAAATGGCCAACCTGGATTGTGTTAAGATCCTCTGTGACCGTGGAGCCAAGCTCAATTGCTATTCCTTAAGTGGACACACAGCTTTGCACTTCTGTACAACCCCAAGCTCCATTCTCTGTGCCAAGCAACTGGTTTGGAGAGGTAAGCCTTTCTGGGGGGCCAACACTGTCATCTGCTTGCACATTCATTAGTGAAAACTTGGTGATTCCCTACTTGCCCCAGTCAATGGACCAGACAACCTCATAAAACCTAGTGCAGGAGTTCTGAAAAATACATAGGTATGTAGATATTCAGTTGTGTTAGCCCAAGTTATTCCACGATGACCACACTGGAATCTTATTTATATATTTTAGTGTCAGGAACTCATTAATTTCTTCATTTACTTAACAAATATTTATTTTGCACCTACTATGTGTCAGGTAATATGCTGAGTAAGTGAAAAAGAGCAAATAGTTCCTGCTCTTAAAGACCTTATAGTATAGAAGGGAAATGTAATTATTAACATAAATATGAATATAAATATTAATCAATAAGCTTACATAAGTGGAGGAAATCACTATGAACAAAGAGATAAGGAGAATGTCAGAAGTGAAGTATTATAAACTGTCTAAAGATATCCTTATGGATATGATATGATATATGATATGATATGTATGCTGAAACTAAGAATGAGAAGGATGCTAAAGGAAGAAGTGTCTATGTACAGGGAGTAGCATGAGCACAGTTACTGGAAAGTAAAATCTTGGCCATTAAATGAATGGATGATGGGCTGTGTAGATGGAGTGCCATGGGTGTGGTGTAGGTTGGGAGGGTCAGAAACAGAAGGGAGTGCCTCAAAATGACATTGGGTGTCTTAGACCATACAGAGCCTCTGGGGGTAAAGGTATGGGTTTTGGAAATGGAGCCACTGAAAAGTTTTCAGCAAGGCAATGACAATTTTCACTGGAAGTCATTGTTTTGTAGATACACAGAAAGTGGATTAGAAGCGGACAAGCAAGAAAGAGGGGGGCCAGCAGGAAAGGTATTGTAATAATCTAGGTGAGAGGGGAGGGTGGCTTACTCTAAATGGCAAGCTTGACTAGGAAGAAAAGGAAATGGGTTTGGAAGTAAATTGATGGAAATTGCAGATGAATTGGATGTGTGTGGGGTGAAGGAAAAAGAAGTTCCAAGTTTTATTGATGAGTTTTCGATTTTAGAAAGTGGGCAGATAGTGATGCTATTTTTTGAGGTGGAAAAACTTGAAGAAGCAGCATCTGTGTGGTGATGATCATTATATCAGATTTCTGTTTGTTTGTTTGTTACAGTAGGGTATGTGTACTTGCTGGAGAGACAGAGACAGGAAGTAGGAAATCACCCTGCAGGGGGAATGGCCATGCCACAATCCTTTCTCTTCCATTCTCCTCTTGGACTGTGGGCCGGCACACACACAGACACACACACACACACACACATGTGCATGGCATGAGTTTTAAGCCACTAGGTCTGGGATTTGAACCACAGTCGACTACATGGAAGTCCAGTGACATAACCATTACACCATTTGCTGGTCTCAATCAGTTTTTTTTTTGTTTTAAGTCAGGTTTATAGGGTATAGGTTACACACAGTAAAATACACCCTAAAACTTACTGTTTTTGAGAAACACTATTTTCATGAAGCCATCACAACAAGTTTTATAAACTTCCTTGATGCCTTCTGTAGTTTATTCCTACCTGCCCTTTGACAACAACTGATCTGCTTTCTATCCCTATAGTTTTGCCCTTTTCTGAATGTCATATAAATTACATGATATCTAGCCTTTGAGTCTCCTTTCCCCCATTTAGCATAATATAGTTGAGAGTCACCCATGTGCATGTATTCGTGTAACACAGTCTATCTACTCCTCAGTGAGGGGACATTTCAATTGCTCAAACTTTTTGTCAATTTTGTAAAAAGTTGTTAGAAAAATTTATGTATAGGTTCTTATGTGGGCACGTTTTCATTTTTCTTGGCTAAGTTCTTTGCAATGGGATGTGAGTTGACTTGTAAATTTGTAAGAAACTTGGGACAAGCAGTTGGCATAATGGCTATGTCGCTGGACTCCCATGTAGTCAACCGCAGTTTGAGTCCTGGACCTGGTGACTTAAACTCACACTGGGCACGTGTGGGTGCATGCCCAAGATCCCAAAAGAGAATGGAGGAGAAGGGAATGCGGCATGGCCATTCCCCCGTGGGGGGTTGATTTCTCACTTTCTGTCTCTCTGTCTTTCTGGTAAGTGCATGGGCCCTATAGCAAAAACCTCTCAAAAACAAACAAACAAACAAAAAAACCTACCATGTGATTTTTAAAAGTGCTTATACCGTTTTGTATTCCCATTGACCCATTGACTATGTGTGAGAATTCTAGTTGCTTCTCTTCCTGACCATAATTTGATAATGTGAAATTAAAAAATTATTATTTTAGTCATTTTAGTAGGTATACAATTGTATCTCACTGTGGTTTTAATTTGATTTTCTCTGATGCTGAAGAATGTTAAGTATATTTTCATGTATTTATTTGCCAGATGGGAATGGGTGGGAGGAAAGTCCCTCTCCCATGCCCAATGGGGTGTGGTCATACTGGAATCCCTTCTCTATTTCTACAACCTGCCAGGATTTGGGGCATGACATATGCTTTCCTGGCATGTTTTACAAGTCATTGTGGTTGGGGCTTGAACTGAAGTCAGCATGTGGGATCTGGTTTCCTCAACCACTAGGCTAAGGGGTTGGCCTTCATACTCACATACTCTCTATTGTGAATAAAACACATAAACTTAAACAAAATCAATTGGCCGTACAAGTATGGATTTATATCTGGACGCTAAACTATTACATTGATCTATATATTTGTTTAAAAAATTGCTTCATCAAGAGAGGGAGGTACCCCAACAGGGTCTTCCCACTATGCTCCATCACCAGTCTCAGCTGACTAGATTAGACACCTGCACACATGCTCCCAGCATGCTCAGGGAGAATGTCCCAGGACACAAACTCAGGGCCCTCCCCCATGTGGATCCAGTTGTATTACTGTTGTGCCACCACGTGGCCCCGATATATCCATTTTTTGTTAATGTTCATGGACTTGATTGTAGGAGTTTTACATTAAGTCTCAAAATCAGATACAGTAAGTCATCCTAGATTGCTTTGAAATATGAGACCTTTCAGATCTTTTTAAGACATCAGAGTAAGACAATGAAGAGTGTATTTGATATAAAAGCTGGACAGAAGAAAGCTCTTCACCGAAATTATAGCTTCAGCATTACTGGTCTATGGATTACTGGCCTAGAGACTTGAAACCAAGAAAATCAATAAAATCATTCAGATAAAGAGTATATGTAGAGAAAAGAGAACTCAGGGCCAAGCCCCAGTGAATTCTCACATTCAGATGTGAAAAGGGTAAGGAGGAGCCAATGAGGAGAGTGAAATAGACCGAAAAGTGAACTTGGATGCCAAGTGAGCTCCACTTTGCTGGGACTTGTTTGGCACTTGGAGAAACTCAAGAACAATTCTGGAACACAGAACTCAGAAAAAGGTGGGTTCACGAAGCAGGGAGTGGCCAGCTGCCTTCATAGTTAGAGAGGTTTAATTAGATGTTCATTAGACTAGGTGACAATTATCATTGACAAAAATAGCTTTGGTGAAATGGTATAGAAATCAGGGTTAAATGGTATAAGGTGAATGGGGGGTTAGAAACTAACAGTGGCATGTGTAGACAATTGTTAAAGTTTAGCTGTAAAAGTGAACACATGAATAGCATGATTGCTGGGGGGTCTGGGGGAAGGGTTTCATAGGAGAGTATTATCTATAGCTGGATATAAAATAAAACACTTGCATGCCAAAGAAAATGATTCATAGAAAGAAAGCAGCTGAACCTGCATGAGACAGAATAACTGAAGGATTCTGGTCTCTAGGAAGTTGAGATGAGATGGAATCCAAAGACTATGGGACATATTCTTATTTTTAACAGGTGAGCCAAGTAAGCATGGTTTTAAATATCACAGTACTTACAGACTTGGTGGTGGTAAAAAGAAGGAATTTGAATCGGGTAGCTTTTCCCTCTCAATAACATAAGAGGCAAAATCATCAGTCAAAAATCAGGGAGCATGGAAATTTTGATTAAAGTGGGAGGTCCTGGGAAAAGAATGGGAAAACAGATTACCAGAAATATGTGGTAAGATCGTCAGACTCATAAAGATGTCTTGGTCTTCTCTGTCTGTGAGAGTAAAGGAGGCAAAGTTAACCCCAAGCCTGCTCCATGGAGCAGTGGTAATGCACTCCTGAAGAGAAGCTGGATTCCACAAGGTGACCGTGGTTCGAATCCTTGGTTCTATCAATCTGAAACACCCTGGGCACACATCCAAGTATCCAGGAGCTAATGGACTGTAGTAGAAGAGGGGGATAGGGCATGACCAGACTCTGTAGAGGGTACTCATCCTTCTCTCTCTCTCTCTTATGTGCATATTCTGTTATGAACAAAGGAAAAAATCGGACTGGTTATTCTCCTTTTTGCCTGTCTTAGGAGGAAAAGCATAGCACAGAAACACACAGGCAGTGTTGGCATCTCTTGGGGTTTTTCCACCTTCGGTATATGTCCATTGCCACCTTTCACATTTACTTGTTCATTTATTTTTGATTTGGTTTTTATTTTTATTGTAAAAATGTCCAGAAAGTTACGATAGTATATAGTATTGTTTAATAATTAACTTTTCAGGGCCCACCCATGGCCTGATGATTAAGGTACTGGAAACCACATGGTTGACTATGTAGTTTGAGTCATGGGCCTGGTAGCTTAATAAAAACACCAGGCATGTGTGCATATGTGCCCAAGATCCTAACAGGAAGGAAAAATGGATAAGGGATTGTGGCATGACCATGTCCATGGGAAGTGCTGTGGCATGACCATGCCCCAAGGGAAGTGCTTTCTCGCTTTTCCTCCTTCTCTCTATCTTTCTCTGGGAAGTGTGTGCTTCCTCTAGCAAAATGTTTTTTTTAAAGTTATAAACTTTTTGTTTTTGAAATCTTTAAATCTCTTTTTTTTTTCTTTTATGGTATGGTGAAAACATTTAAAATCTACTCCTGCAAATGTAACAGTTTCATTATTATTAAGGATAGTCATTTTGTTGTA